GCCCCCCCCCCCCCCGCCCCGGATACCCATGGGTCAGACAGACAGACTGCAACACAGAGCCACTGTGAGATTTGCAGGGCAGTGGGTTGGGTTTGGGCATGTGGGTGCAGGTGGAGGGGACACCCCAACCCCGCTGAGCTCTACGGGCACTGAGCACAGCGCAGCCCCATGTTGTCTTCCCCCCCCCCCTCCACGGTGCAGCGCTGCGCTCAGGGTGCAGGAATGCAGCACAGCCAGCCTGGCTGCCGTGAACCAGCAGCACCGGTCCCACCGCAGCACTGTGCAGGAACCCCACAGCGGCCCCAGCTGAAACCGGGGCCGTGCAGAACCCGTTGCCTTCTGCCCCACTGACCCCATCAGCACAGCACGGCCCCACTTCCCCTCCCTGACAGCTTGCTCAAATGCTTTTACAAGCTTGGAGACCAAAGTACCCGGGAGCAGCTTTGTGTTGGGGCACAGCCCGTCCCCTCCCCGAAACTCCTCTGCTCCAATGGCCACACGGTGCCATCTCCCCCCCCTTCACCCAATGCAGCAGCACTACAGATGGGGACACCATCCCGATGGTATTAATGATGGGGAAACCGCATCCCACAGCAGCCCAAGGGCAGGACACACGCACCCCAAATCGCTCCCCCTGCAACCTCACTCTGCCTCCAAACCACGAGGGAACCGGGGGTCCGGCCATCACCAGGGTGGGGGGGTTCACACTCACCTCCTGGGGGTCCACGGTGCAGTAGTGGTAGATGTACTGGTAGAGGTAGCTGTTACTATAGGCCTGGCTGCACATGGCTATCAAGGGGTTGTAGTAGTAACTGCTGGACATCTGCGCCTGCGGGTTGACACCCATGATGTAGACGATGGAGGCGATGAGCATGACGAAGGCCAGCACAGCACTCAGCACCAGGACGGACAGGTAGAAACGCCGTGAGCGCGTGGCTCTGGATTTGCTGAGCGCGGCCACCAGCAGCCCCAGCTGGGCCAGGAAGCACAGCACGGCCATGGCCATCATGAAGCCGTTGGCCGTGCGCTGGTTCACCCCTCCATAGTAGTTCCCATAGCCGTAGCTGTAGCTCAGCCCGCTGCCATAGTAGTAGTTGGTCCCATAGTACCCCCCCAGCCCGGTGCCGTAGCCCCCCCCCAGGCCGTAGCCGTAGTCCCAGGCGAGCGTGGATGCGATGCAGGCGAAGATGGCGATGCACAGCACCAGGACCCCCGCCTGCAGCCCCCGCACCACGCCGGGAGGCGACGTCCACTTGTAGAAGTGCTGCGGGGTGTCCTCCACGTAGTAGGAGCCCGGCGGCGGCGACCCGTAGCCGTAATCACCCGTGGGGGGGCCGTACCCCGTGGGGGGGCCGTATCCCGCGGGGGGGCCGTCGTAAGACTTCTTGCTGAACATGGTGGCCCTGCGGGGAGAAAAACGGAGCGGTGGCACCGCCTGCTCTCCCCGTCCCCCGTCGCGTTCACAGGGGACTTTGAACGCCGTCACCGCCGCCCGTCCGTGTGCCCGACGCGTCACCGCCTCTGCTGGGGAAACTGAGGCACAGTTTGGGGCGGGGAGAGCTGTGAGTCAGCGCGGTGCTCGGCCCCGCCCGCCGGACCCGCAGCGGATGGGGTCCGTCTCATTAACACCAGAAAAGCGCTCACCCGACGGCAGCGCTGACCCCCGAGGGCCCCTCCGCCAGCAGAGCTGTTGGGATTAACGAGAATCAGAGCAGCGCCGCGGGGCTGTGCGAGCAGCGGGGGGGTCACTGTTAGCACTGCGTGGAGCGGTGCTTCCCCTACCCCAAATCCCCCCCTCTCCAAAGCGATCCCCCCCCCCCCTCCCGCGCTCTCCGAAGCTCCCTTTAGTTTTGCTTTGCTCCGAGTTCACTTTTAAAGCGCGGCTGCAGGTGTTTGCAGACAGCGGGACAACAACGCAGGGCTGGCGATGCCATGGGGGGCAGCGGGGGGCGAAATTTGGGTTCTGCAGCCCAAAGTTCCCCCCTCCTCCCCGCCGCACAAAGGCACAACCCCACAAACACGGCACAACCCCACGCTCTGAACTTCCCCCCCCC